GTCAGAGGGAGAAGCAGACTCCCTGCTGAGCAGGGAGCCCGATGCGGGACTCGATCCAGGGACTCCAGGATCATGACCTGAGCCGAAGGCAGTCGCCTAATCAACTGAGCCACCCAGGCGCCCTAGAAAGCTTGTTTTAATGCCCATTGTCAAAACATTACTGACGGTGCTTAATTACTGAAAAGAGACACAAAGCAATGGCATTATTTTCAGTAGCCCAGCTTTGATATGTGATAAATTTTGCAATGTATTCCGTAACTAGGTATCAGAAATTTAAAGAATCATATAAGTAGCTCTATCAAGACAGGCCTCTAAACTTTGTGCTGAAAGAAACCTGTGATTTAAGTTCTGATATCTGTATTCTACCATTTTGTTGTCCTTTTTGTGGTTTGTTTTAGCTGCCCTGCAGAGTATTTTTCCTCAGGCTGAGCTTGGGACATTTCTAACACTTTCTAAGAAGGACAAAGAACGCCAACTGAAAGAACTCACCATGATTGTTACTGGGATTCGCTTATTTAACCGAGACTGTGGAAAGGGAGGAGAAGGCATTGATGACTGTAGGTATATCATTAGGTGAAGTCTGCAGGTTATGGAGGTTTAAAATCTAACTCACACAGTGAGGAAAATAATGCACAGTATTTCACCGGCATTCTTAGATTTAAGGTATGCTGGGTCTTTAAATTAAATTAAATTAAATTAAATTTTTTTTTTTTTTTAGAGAGGGAGAGAGAGTGCATGTGAGCGGGGGGGGGAGCATGGGAGAGGGAGAGAATCCTAAGCAGGTTCCACACTCAGCACAGAGTGCAATGTGGGGTTCAACCTCATGACCCTGAGATCATGACCTGAACTGAGGTCAAGAGTTGGACACTTCACTGACTGAGCCACCCAGGTGCCCCTAAGGTATGCAGTTTTGACTCTACCTTAGGTACAGTTACTGTTCATAATGGATAGTAATTTTTAATTTTGCTGGGGCAAGACTTGCAGCATTATAGTACACGAAGCTAGTGTGGGAGAGTGAATCAGTGGAAGGAATGAGGGGTCTGCCTGAAGGCCAGCCTCTCCAGTTCGTTGGGCTCTGTGTTCTTTATTCCAAGTCAGATAACCAAAAGGGAGTAAAACTCAGTGATCTAAAAATAAAAATCACCCTGAGAAGAGAAGAGTGATTGATGCAACCAATGGAATGGAGAGGTCCAAGAGGAGATACTTGCAAATCTGCAAATCCAGGAGCATTTACTGTGCTGTTCTGTACTTAATGCATTCATCATCTCTGAGTTTGAAAGCACTCATGAAATATTTGATCAGGGGCTCAGGAGAAGGGACTTCCTTATGTAGGCCCACTGATAAGGTGTTAGCGTCTGTTACTAGATCACTTATCTAGTATAATAGGGTCAGTTTTTAAAATAGAAAAACTAGAAAGTTTTTAGAAAGTTCTAGAAAGTCAAATTCCCATTCTTTATAAAATTTCCTATCTTGCTAGACTATTCTGTTATTTTTCAGTATCCTCATCGGTTTCTTTTTTTTCACAAAATATGCCTTTTCTAGAGGCCCATGGCCAGTAGCACATAATACCAAAGCCTATCTATTCTTTCTTTCTTTTTTTTTTTTAAAGATTTTATTTATTCATTTGAGACACAGAGATACAGAGAGAGAGAGAGAGAGAGCACATGAGCAGGGAGAGAGGCCGAAGGAGAGGGAGAAGCAGGCTCCCCGCTGAGCAGGGAGCCCGATGCGGGACTCGATCCCAGGACCCTGGGATCATGACCCGAGCCAAAGGCAGATGCTTAACCATCTGAGCCACCCAGGCGCCCTATTCTTTAGATTTTTCTATATTTTAGTGGCAAAAACTGACCTGCTACCTTTTGGTTATCATTCTGACAGTATCTTTTGTTCGGACAGGTGTTCCCCTCCCCCCATTCTTTCCTTCATGGTGTGAGAAGAAACACATGACATATGTTACGTCTTGTTATTATTCATTTGGTTGAGAAAAAGATGAACTCAATGTAATGCTCGAGTTATTACTTTCTAGGCTTTTCGTAGATTCTTTCATGTCTCTTGATATCCTTTTAAAACCAGTGCCAGCCATTCTGCACGAAGCAATCCCAGCCACCACGCAGCACATTGATTCCCAACTTCGGACTGCCCAGGACCAGGCCTACCGCTACACGGCCGTCCTTGAGAAGGCAGCCAACAACCCGCTCCTGCGTACAGAGCTTCAGCCGTGTATGTTAAAAGAAGCACTGTATAATGTGCGGCAGTACGAGGTCTTCCTTCAGATCATTTTGGTGAGCGAATGTCATAAGATTTGGCTTTTTTGTTATGTGGCAACCACTTTACATGTTACGGGGCTCCACAAAAGGCAGAATCAGGTCATTGCTAAAGGAGGCAAACTTCATAACTGCCCAGTTTATATTGCATCTGTGGGGCTGGGAACAGAAATAGAAATAGGGAAGTTGGATTTTTATTTTAATGGAAAATATTGATAGGAATTGATTTCTAGTTGTTGATTCCCTTTGGTGCCCAGCAAAATGATCGTTAGCATGCTGTGGTCAAGCAGTGGTGTGTATGTGTGTGTGAGTAACACTGTATTGTTTTCACACTGAGCAAGTATCTAATGTATTTTTGGGCAGATAGTTAGCACCTAAATAATTTTTATGTAATTATTTGTTGTTGTAAAAGTTGGTTGAAAAGATTTTTATTGCTAATATTTTTCGATTTAATGGACAAGCTAAACAGTATCCCCAAATAGTTGGAAAATTTGGTAAAGTAGTGATTTTAAACTTTTTTTAGAAGTGGCAGAGCACTTACTTTCAGATGGAAACTCACTCAGAATCCCAAAAATACAAAACAGGTATATAGATGAAAGGATTGAAGGACCTTTTCACCAAGGAACATCCCCATTCCACCCTAGGGTTCTAGGGCACACAGTTTGTTAACTACATCTTGGCAGCAAGCTGTGTTCCTACCAGTCAATGTTTTTTTGGTTTTGTTTTGTTTTGGGGGGGTTTTTTAGCTTTATTGAGGTACAGTTGACAACACTGTAAGATATTCAAAGTGTACAATGTGAGGATTTGATGTATATCTACATTGTGAAAGCAACTTCTCTCATCAAGTTAAATAACACATTCATCCCAGTGGTCACTGTTTACCTTTACACAACCTCTACCTTCCAGTAACTCTGAGACTCAGGGTCAGTGGACCGTCTTTTATATGAGTGAATACTAACGTCTTGAAGGATGGAGCAGGATGTGTTTTTAACTTGTATCTTAATTAATGACTTGTTACTACTTCTGGGTGCACTTGATCTGTCTTCTTATCTTCACTGTAAAGAATAGGAAGATAAAAATCCAGATGACATGACTTCATTGCAACAACCTAGGAGGTGGTCCTCACAACTGTCCTACTATGTAATTGCCCTCAGAAATGAGGACTCTAGATCAGCTGTTCTAAACCAAATTATCCTTTTGGGTAGATGTTCCTCTAACACTGAGTTGTGGCCATCAGCCTTGTGTAACTAGTCAGATACTAAGAGGATTTTACAATCAGTTTATCTTAAAGTGCATGCAGGTCCACAGGAGTAAGAGTCTCACATTCACTTTGTCATCTGTGTTGGGAAGAGATATCAGAAGAAGGAACCTTTGGAGACGGTCACTCATAACGTAAGGATGTTGTAGAGAATGTCGTTCATTATATCACATCTTCTCAGGGCTTTCACCCATGGAGCATATTCAGCTAACTTACAGTCTGAGAGTCTCATTGGAGTTCTCATTCTCAGCTAGAAGGACAGTAAGTCGAGGGTATCAGTGATGAGCGTGGGCTCTGCAACCAGAACGCATGGGTACTCATCCTGACTTTGCCACTTACTAAATCTGTGTCCTTGAGGAAATAGCGTAACTTCTCTGTGTGTAAGCTTGTACTTAGGGATCAAGATTTAATAAAATTAATACTTTTACTGCATCATCAAAGATATTCTTAAGTGAAACTGACTTTTTTATTGAGATATCGTTGATACATAACATTATGTTGGTTTCAGTTATACAACGTATTGATTAAGTATATGTGTATATTGCAAAATCATCCTTCACTATAGAGTTACAAAATTTTGTGTGTGTGATGAGAACTTTTAAGATTTACTCTTTTAGCAACTTTGAAATATACGATGCAGTATTTTTAACTATAGTCACCATGCTGTTACATTATATCCCCAGGATTTATCTTATAACTGGAAGTTTTTACCTTTTGACCCCTGTCCCCCATTTCACCCCCACCCCCACCTCATGCCCGTGGCAACTACCAGTCTGTTCTCTGTATTTATGAGATTGGGTTTTTTTTCTTATTTTTAGTTTTTTTAGATCCCACATACAAGTAAGATCATATAATATTTGTCTTTCTCTGACATATTTCACTTAGCACAACACCCTCAAGGTCTATCCATGTTGTCACAAGTGGCAGGGTTTCCTTCTTTTTTTATGGCCGAATAATATTAATTGTGTATATATGCCATATTTTCTTTTTTTTTTTCAAGATTTTATTTATTTATTTGACAGAGGGAGGGAGGAAGAGAGAGAGGGAACACAAGCAGGGGGAGTGGCAGGCAGAGGGAGAAGCAGGCCTCCCGCTGAGCAGGGAGCCCGATGTGGGGCTCAATCCCAGGACCCTGGGATCATGACCTGAGCCGAAGGCAGACGCGTAACCGATTGAGCCACCCAGGGGTCCGTATGCCATATTTTCTTTATCTGTTCATCCATCAGTGGTCACTTAAGTTGCTTCCTTGTCTTGACTGTTGTACATAATGGTGCAAAGAATATGGGGGTGCATTTATCTTTTCTGGTTACTGTTTTTATGTCCTTTGGATATATACCCAGAAGTGGAATTGTTAGATCATATGATAGTTCTATTTTTAATTTTTTGAGGAATCTTCATACTGTTTTTCATAGTGGCTGCACCAATTTACTTTTCCCACCAACAGTGCGCGAGGGTTTACTTTTCTCCCCATTTTTGCCAACATTTGTTCTCTCTTGTCTTCTTGATACTAACAGGTGTAAGGTGGTATCTCATTGTGGTTTTAATTTGCCTTTCCCTAATGGTAAGTGACGTCGAGCACTTTTTTGTGTACCTGTTGGCTATTTGTATATCTTCTTTGGAAAAATGTTATTCAGATCTTTTGTCCATTTGTTAATTGGATTGTTTGGGTTTCTTGTTTGTTTTTGTTTTTTTGGGTTTTTTTTTTTTTTTTTTTTTGCTATTTATTTGTATGAGTTCTTTGTATATTTTGGATATTAACCTCTTATCAGATATATGATTTGCATATATTTTCCCCCATTCAGCAGGTTGCCTTATCATTTTGTTGATGGCTTTCTTTGCCATAGACCTTTTTCGTTTGATTATAGACCCACTTGTTTATTTTTGCTCCTGTTGCCTTTGTTTTTGGTGTCAAATCCAAAAAACCATCACCAAGCCTGATATCAAGAAGCTTACTGTCCTATGTTTCTTCTAGAAATTCATGGTTTTGGGTTTTACATTCAAGTCCTTAATCCAGTATGAGTTGATTTTCTGTATGGCTTAAGGTAGGGGTTTAGTTTCCTTCTTTTGCATGTTGCTGTCCAGTTTTGCCAATATTATTTATTCAAGAGACTGTCCTTTCCCCCATTGTACATTCTTGCTTTCTTTGCCATAAATTAGTTGAACATGTATGATGGATTTATTTCTGGGTTCTCCGTTCTGTTCTCTTGATCTGTGTGTCTTTTTATGCCACTGTCACACTGTTTTGATTATTACAGCTTTGTAATATAGTTTGAAATTAGGAAGCATGATGCCTCCAGCTTTGTTCTTCTTTCTCAAGATTACTTGGCTACTTGGGGGTCTTTTATGGCTCCATACAAATTTTAGGATTGTTATTCTGTTTCTTGGAAAAATACCATTGGAATTTTGACAGGGATTTCACTGAATCTTTATATTGATTTGGGTAGTATGGACATTTTAACAATATTAATTCTTCTACTCCATGAACACAGAATATCTATTTATTTGTGAGGACCAACTTTACAACTAAAACTTCCACCTAGTTGTGAACGAGTTCTTTTAGATAAATGTAAACAGAGTGATTGTTTTAGGTCATTATCAGGAAAAATCAAAAAAAGTTCTGTGTGCCTCCTCTATGAGTCCCTGAAAACATAGCTCCAGGGAGAAAGTCTAGAGTATCTTCAGTTATAGACTTAAAGAAGTTATGTGTTGAATGTAAATTTTACTTTGAAGAGCATATGCAGGTTTATTTCTATTTCTTGTTGCTGTTGCACAAATCTAAAGAGACTTTAAGGATGCCATTTTCATATTTGATTTCTAAAATAAAACTAACAAAGAAGGGGGAAAACTCTATGGGGTAGATGAGAGACTTATTAGATGGGATAGGCAGAATTACATGGAGCATGAAGCAAGGGGAAGGGAGATGCTTAAAGAATAGTATGGGTACATTTAAAACAGGATGCATGTTACATTTGTGAATAAAAAATTTTGTTAGTTGAAATACAGTAAAATTTGGTATTTTTATGAAGTACTTATTTGTCATTTAAAAATAGTCTAGTAAAGCATGTGGTTTGACTACAAGTATCTGAAGACTCAGATGCATTTTTTTTCTCTTCAAGTAACTGTCACTCTTTTGCACTGTACTGATAAGCCCAAACCACTGCCATTTCCGGTCGCATCTCAGGCAGTACAGTATAATGGGTAAGAGCTGGGCTCTGGCTTCCAGCGGTCTGGGACAGAACCATGATTCCACCCTTTATTAAACTGTGTCCTTGGGCAATTTTTTCACCTTTCAATATCTTGGTTTTCCTATTTATAGTCTACCCTTTTTTTACACTTAGAAGTATTTAATATGATGCTTATTAACACCTTATTTTCAGATTACTAGTGTCATATCAGAAATACATTGTTTTTCTTTCAGTGATGTGCTTTTTAAGATTTTTCTGCATTCTTGGATGTAATTTGTAAAAATCCTGGTATCAGAATAGTTTTCAGAGGAACACCTCATTTTATTATGGAGAAGTGGGGAAATAACAGCTGAACAAAGCTGGGTCAGAGGATTCACTTCTCAGGAATGCAATTATACGGCATATGGAAGAATACCTTGAGAAAAAGAATTCCTTTGGGAAAAATTATAGCCACTGTATTTCAAAAGGTTCATCCATCCAACAAATATTTCTGGAGCACCCTCCATATGCCAATACTGTTCTTGGTTTGGGGATACCAGGAACAAGAGAATTTCTGCTCTCATTGTGCTTACCTTCAGGGGATATAGGGAGCGGGTAGGGCTTAAAACACACGATTTTTATAGTGAAATTATAAAAATATTAATGTAAATTATATTGTCTTCACAGTCAGATATAATTACCTGTGCTCAAGAAGTAGAAATGATGATAAAGCAGTTAGGAGCCCAACTGGAACAATTAAAAATGATTGTAAAATCAAAGACAGCTGTCCCAACGTCACAAGTCTTTGTAAGTATTTGCTATCAACTTTGACCTTGCTTAAGGGTGAATATACCTTTGAGTCCTATACAACTGAATCAGAAGTAATTATAATTATATTTAATTACTAAAAATAGAATATTTGTTCTATACAAGTTGATCCTGTTCTTTACAGTTATTTTGTAGTAGTAGTGTAAGTCAGATGAAGGAATCGCCCTTGCAGGCCATTGCTACTAAAGGAGATGCAGATCTATATTATGGTAGCCACAATTTCAGTAAAGATTGTGGCAGCAGAATGAATCCATAAGGCAACATTGAAAACATGTTCACAGGGGCTGGTTAAAAATTGCCTTCAGCAAAGAGGTGGTGTAACTTGTGACCTCTATGAAGAGGCAGAGGATAATCACTGTGTTTACCGGGCCTATATGTATACTGACTTTCTGATTATCTGCACCACCTTATGGGCAAATCTGGTAGCCCTAAGGAGGTATAAGATGCACATGCAGTATTTTATAGAGCATTTTGAGGCTCTGAGAATTTTCTGTAACCATTCCTAATATTCGGTTTTAAAAACCAAGAAACAAAAGGCTAAGCTGTTTCACTTATTAGTGGGGCCTGATTAATTTTTTTAATGTTTGTTCTGTAAGTCAGTGACCTTTAATATGAATAAAAAACTTTATCTCACTGACCTAAAATCTTTAACTTGCTGCTCACAAGATATGCCCTAAGATGTATCTCTAGATTTTCCAGGTTCTTTTGAATCATGATTGAGCCAGATAAATCTAAGAGTAATGAGTCATATTTAGCTTTTTTTAAAAAGGAAGCTATTTCCCCTTGACCTTTTGAGGTCAAGCATCCATAAGTGTTTGGCTTTTTTGGGTAAATTAACTTTATGACAATCACTCCCAGATAAAATGCTTTGAAATAAAATAGAAGTTTTTTTCTCATAACTTATGAGTCCAGTTACCATGTAGATTTTATTGTTTAACCTCAGGAGACTTTGACTTGTCTTCTGGAAGAATTAATTTCTTTACAAATACAAATTTGTTAAGAGTACAGTGATTTATAATTTTATTAGACAGTTGTATTTTGAACATTGCTTTCTCTTCCTCAGCCCATCTTCATCGCACTTTCCAACCTGTGGACTAGCTTCCAGGATGAAACTGTTTTGATTAGTGTCCTCAGTAATTTAACAACTCATCTTGAACCATTCCTGGGTGCTCATGAGCTACTCTTTCCTGAGAAAGTCATACAGAATCTTCTTGATGGGCTGACTGTGAAAACTGATGTGTGTAGGGTGAAGGAACACCTGGGTAATAGAAATCATCTTTGACTTCCTCTTCCTCTTCAAATTGCCTCTAGAATAAAGTCACTCTTTTCTTTTAAAATTTTCATGCTTGGGGCACTTGGCAGCCTCAGTCCAAGGAGCATGGGTCCCTGAATCTCAGGGTCATGAGTTCAAGCCTCACGTTGGGTGTAGAGTTTACTTAAAAAAAAAAAAAAAAGGTAAAATTTTTATGCACTATCTTCCTGATAAGGTATTAGGCATCTTTCTTGATTCAAAGAGTACTAATGTTTGTCATAGAAAATGCAGAAAACAGAAAATATATCCACTGAGTACCTTACTATCCCGCAATGAACATTCTTAATGTTATTGTCAGTGTTTTAGTTGACAATGATGTTCCTTTCCTATGTGTTTCTATTGTAGTCTTAATGATTTTATTATTGACTGATTCATAGTAGAAAAGGATATTAATCATTGCCATATTTGTTGCAAGTAAAGCTCTATTTCTTTGGAATGCTGTTTGCCCTATATCTTCCTCAGAGTCAGGCTGAAATTTATAAATCAATGAATTTTATCCCTGTAAATTTGAACTTATTTTAGACCCTTTAAGAGACACATTGATTCTTATGGAAAGGCTGTCTTTATCAACAGACTGCTTTTTACTTTTTTGGTGTCTTCTGTCTTAGTTACAGACAACTTGAAGTTAATGAGAAATGCCAAAATAGAGTCTAGGAGTTGTTGCCTAAAAAGGTTTTTCCAGAAATTGAAATTAGATAATTTACTCTCTAAATGTCCTTTTCAAATTCTAATTTTGTAAAAGTAGAAAATAAAAATGAAGTGCTGTTTCCATTCTTAAACTATTAGAATAAAAAAGCCCCTGAAAACTAAATTAGAGAGACTCAAAGGCATCCTTCCACTTCAAGTTTTTCGTACTCCTTTTATTTTATTACAACAGCGTATATACACAGATACTACGTGAAACTGAAAAGTTAAAGTCACTTCAACAGTAGATACTAAACTCAACCATGTTGGCAAAACAATTTACTTCTTAAGAGTTAACATGTCGTTTCCCTCCATATGCCACAACTTTATATTCAATAGGACACTATCCCGTTACTGATCCCAGTGAATTGGGAGACCTAATACTCTTCTAAAAGAATTTAATTAGCACTTGCCACATCTCATCACTGTTTTGAGGCTTTCAGGCATATCAGGAAAAAAGAAGGAAGGTTTATTTTTCCCAACATTTGCATTTACTTCTAGCTGTGGCCACAAGGGCATCTGTGGTATCTGCTGTTTTGATACAGAGCCCTGCCCAGAAGCTTAGTATAAGGATTGCAAAAGCTAAGACCCTTGGGGATTGATGTTTTATAAATACGTGTTTTTGTTTGGAGAAGAAAATTTAGACAATGTGTTTATCACATGTAAATAAGTAAACCAACCACGATTAGGAAGAATTTTTAAAGTGTAAAGAACAAAAATTGTACACCTTGTTATCAAAAGTAAGTTATTGAGAGATATTTTCTTGAATCTTTCTGCTCAGAACATTCTCTGCTGTTTCAAGAAGCAATAGTCCTAGTGTATGAGCATCACATTCAAAGTATTTGGCCACCTAGTGTATTACGAAGAGCTCTACTGTCTTGAATGAAGCTTATCTATCTCTATTTTAGTCACATAGCAGCCAGTCTTTTCTGCTCCTTTCCTTGGGTTGTTTACTCTTCTCATTGATTAAAGTTTTTCTTGTCCTCCTCTTTCATTTTAGAAGATAGAGTACATCTGGTGGATTTCAGAAAACAAGAATGGCTTTTCCCAGAAACAACAGCAAATTTTGATAAATTGTTAATTCAGTATCGGGGATTTTGTGCTTACACATTTGCTGCAACAGATGGTCTTCTCCTTCCAGGTATATTGTTGGGAACAACCTTACTTGGACTTCCCCATTTTTTCTTTGAATAAAGTGCTATTGTTGTCACTTACTCACTTTTTTTTTAACTTACTCATTTTTTAAAATTTCATGGGATCTGATGATGAACTAGGAAAGGAGCCACAAAGATGATCCAGACCATCTTCATCTTTGAAGTACTCACAGAATAATCTGGTAGACTGACATAACCAAGAAATTATGCTACAAATGATAAGTGATGGAATGTGTATATAATGAAATATGGATGCCACAGTATCATAAAAAGATGGATGACTCATATGTCCAATGAAGGATTCTAGAAATTCACATGACATTACTAAAATATATCATCTTCCAAAGTAATGACTTGAAAGAGCAACACTAATTTGGCTGGTTATGTTTATTAAACAATATGCTGTCACTTTATGGTTATAGTCCATTAACATGAGTCAGGATTTCTGGATAAGTCAGATCTAAGGAAATGGCCAGTATTTTATCAAGTAAAATCTCTCTATGATGTATATATTACGAGAGCTTCCCCAAAATAGAGTAAACCAGAAATTATCATCCAAAAGTGCCCTATGAATTGGAAATAAAAAGTCAGCTAGGGCTAGAATGAAAAGAGTTTGACAAAATTATTTATTTATTTATTTGAGAGAGAGAGAGAAAAAACACGAGCAGGGGGAGGGGCAGAGGGAGAAGCAGACTCCCTGCTGAGCAGGGAGCCGGATGTGGGACTGCGTCCCAGGACCCTGGGATCATGACCCGAGCCAAAGACAGATGCTTAACCGACTGAGCCAGCCAGGCATCCCTGACAAAATTATTTCTAATTTACCTTACACCAATAACCTCTTCCTTTTCTTTGTTCTTTGTTATTTCTTTTGTTATATTTCATAGTTGGGTATTACTTTTTTATTAGAAAGAAGGCGATGGTGTCACTGACTTCCTTGTCAACCAATCTCCCTTGGTCACTACTCCAGGCTCACTGGCCTTCTTTCTATTCTTGAGCATTCCAAACATATTTTCACCTCAGAGCCTTTGCCTTGCTATTCCCTCTACTTGGAAAACTCTATCCCACATAAAGCTACATACCTTGCTCCTTCATTTTGTTCAAACTTCCTAGATCACCCAATTTAAAATATCAACCTCACTCTCTTCCTTTTACTATGTGTTTAGCTGGCTTTATGTTTTCTGCAGTACTCTCTGGCCTATGGTATATTTGTTGATTTACTGAGAAATTTGTTTTCTTTTATATCCTTAGTGCCAGGAATAAGGCCAATAAGTTTTGTTGAACAAGTGAAAAAATAAGTAAGACAGTATTACTGTTTCTCACCAGCTATGTGGATATTTAATAATCCATATTTTATGTAGTATCTATTCACAGTGGGAAATACTTTCTAACATAGAAACTTGTATTGGGGGTGCCTGGCTGGCTCGATCGGTGGAACATGTGACTCTCGATCTTGGGGTTTTGAGTTCAAGCCCCACGTTGGATATAGAGATTACTTAAAAATAAAAAAATCTTAAAAAAAAGAAGAAGAAACCTGTATTTTGGAAAAGATGTCCCATCTTTATAGTTTTTATAGAATTATTTTTAAAAACAATACTTGTAGTAGTTAGTTTAGTTAAAGGAGATTTGAAAAAACCATCAGACGACTAAGTGATTCTCATAAAAGATTTTCAAACACCTTATATCTGGATAGTAAGTTTTTATATAAACCATACTTTAAAATTAATTTAATATGAATTTCATATAAAATATAATTTAATAAAATGTATAATTTAAAATTGCAAATTGTGGGACGCCTGGGTGGCTCAGTCAGCTAAGCGTCTGCCTTCGGCTCAGGTCATGATCTCAGGGTCCTGGGATCGAGTCCTGCATTGGGCTCCCTGCTCTGCAGGGAGCCTGCTTCTCCCTCTGCCTCTGCCTCTCTCTTTCTCTCTCTCTCTCATGAATAAACAAATAAAATCTTTAAAAAGAGAATTGCAAATTGTACCATTTTAGCAAAATGAAAAATGTAAGTCATATGTTAAGTATGCAATAGATAGGGGATGGTTTTATGGATGTATTACAAACATAGAATCACTTAATATTTCATGCCTAATTCATTTCCTTTTCTTAATTTTCAGGAAATCCAGCAATTGGGATTTTGAAATATAAAGAAAAGTATTACACTTTCAATACCAGAGATGCTGCATATTTATTTGCAGAAAATCCTGAAAATTATATTGATTTAATTAGAGAAAAGGCCAAAAAAAATACAGAATTAATTCAGCTCCTGGAGCTTCATCAACAGTTCGAAACCCTCATTCCATATTCTCAGGTAAGCAGAGTCAGTATTTTAAGAATTTATGACTTTTTTTTAAAAAAAAGATTTTATTTATTTATTTGACAGAGACAGAGATAGCGAGAGCAGGAACACAAGCAGCAGGAGTGGGAAAGGGAGAGCAGGCTTCCTGCCGAGGAGGGAGCCTGATGCGGGGCTCGATCCCAGGACCCTGGGATCATGACCTGAGCCGAAGGCAGACGCTTAACGACTGAGCCACCCAGGCACCCAAGAATTTATGACTTTTAAAAGAATACTTAATTAAAAAGTCAGACTTTGTTGTAGAATGGTTCCTAAGTCCAGGCAGAGACAGGATCCGAAGAGGGCCTTTAATGCTCTAAGAGATTCACCCTTGAAGAGGGACACTAATGAAATCCATAAAGAATAATGAAAACAAACAAAGGAGTCAAGTTGATGAATTAGACTGGAAAACTCTGGAAGAGAAATACTACATTTAGATAAATAATTGAAACTATAGTATTTCCTTATCTAAAATTAAAGGAACTTAGCACAGATAACACAGGTGATAACTTAGAGCTGTAAGGTAACAGGTCTGTGTGTCTGTCTCAGCACTGGTACCATATTGCTTTCATTACTGTTACTTTTTGGTATATTTTATTACCTGATAGGGCAAGCTCTTTCCTTTCCCTTTTCCTTTTTGAAAATTGTCTTAGATAGTCATGCATGAATCTTTATATATCCATGTAATTTTCTTAATAAATTTGCAAGTTTCCCCCAAAATCTTCCTGAGATTTTAACTGGAATTGCATTAAAATAATCAAATGAAATAATCAAGTAATTGTTTATGTTTATTATATTGGGTTGTCCCATCCATAAGAAGTACCCTTTACTTAGCATTTTTAAAAAAATAATTAGCAGTTTTATTAATTATGTCTTAATAAAACATAATGGTTTTAGTTACATTTTTTACTCTGCCTACTTCTAAAACTGTAGGTGATCCTAGCAGTGACTGGTAATGATAATAATAATATATGGTTTTCAATATGATGACACTCAGTACGATGACACCTCCATTGAATTAACAATTCTCCTACGGAATGGGTTTGTTTCTAGGCTCTCCCAGTTTTATATTTTTTATTCTTTTGTGGTGTCTTTTCACAAATAAAAGTTTTTCAATTTAATATGTAGTTTATTGTTCCTTTTTCTTTCATGTCTTCAACTTTTGTGTCTTGTTTAAGAAATCCTCAAGTATCTTAGATCATAAAAATATTCTCCTACATTGTTTTACAACAAATATGGATTTACCTTTCACACCCAAGTCTTTAATTGACTTGGATTTGATTTTTGTGTCTAGGGGGAGGTGAAGATCTAATTTTAACTTTTTTTCCTTTTGGGTAGTGAATTGTCCCAGACCACTTGTTCAGTGCTCTGTCCTTTCCCCGAATCTGCAGTGTCTTCTGTGCACAGGCTTAATTTTTAGGCTCTCTGTTCATCTTACTAGAGCCTTATAATAAGTTTTGATGCCTATAGACTAAGTTCTCCCATACTTGCCTCTCTAAAGACACTTGGCTATGCTTGACTCTTGACTTTCCATTATAAATTTGAGAATTACATTGTCAAGTTCCATAAAAAACCTTGAAGGCATTATGAATTTGCCTGTCTATAGACAAGAGTGTTTTGGCCTTGCTGCCACTTATATATAACTTACGGAGTTGTAAGATACCTCAAAGACAGTGAAAGGCTAGAATCAGATCATCAGAAAGGTGTGCTATATGTAGATAATGCATAGTTTTCCATTAAAGAACAATTTCCCCCCATTTATTTGTTCTTGTTTTTCCCTTTCTGTATATCTAATTCCCAGTTCTTCTTCAGTGACCTTCATATTTCAAAGCTGTGGTCCTTATAATTATTTACTAGTCATTTACTTGAATTGTATAATATTGCTAATCATCTTGCAGCATGTTTTATCTATCCAACTATATCATAACATCGTTTTGAAGACAAAAATGATATGTTAAATGGTAGGGCAATCAGTGATTATCTATTGCTTGATTTGGAGTAAGAAGTTTTTTTTTAAAGATCTTATTTTTTTTTAAAGATTTTATTTATGTATTTGAGAGAGTGAGAGAGAGAGCATGAGCAGGGTGAAAAGGCAGATGGGGAGGGAGAGGCAGACTTCCCGATGAGCAGGGAGCTGGATGCGGGGCTTGATCCCAGGACCCTGAGATCATGACCCGAGCTGAAGGCAGATGCTTAACCGACTAAGCCATCCAGGCGCCCCTTGGAGTAAGTTAATCTTGAATGGATAAAGGAGATGGGGCAATATATATATTATAGGAATATTACTCAGCCATAAAAAAGAATGAAATCTTGCCATTTGCAACAAAATGGTTGGCTCAAGAGGGCATAATGCTAAGTGAAATAAGTCAGTCAGAGAAAGACAAATCCATATGATTTTATTCATGTGTGGAGTTTAAGAGACAAAAACAAATGGACAAAGAGAAAAAGGGACAGACTCTTAAATATAGAGAACAAACTGGTGGTAGTCAGAGGAGAGGTAGGTGTGTGTGGGGGGATGGGTGAAATAGGTGAGGGGATCAAGAGTACACTTACCGTGAAGAGCACTGAGTAATGTTTAGAATTGTTGAGTCACTGTATTGTACACCTGAAACTAATATAACCCTGTTAGTTATACTAGAATAAAAAAAAAAAAAAAGAAGCTAATCTTCTCTCCCTTCTCTTCACTATGATCTGAGTTCTTTAGACCTCTACCACCCCCTCCAGCAATTTCATATACCGTGTAATCATACCTTGTTTAGCCTGGAGTTAATATTTAATATTTTAATAGTGAGTTTGTGAGTGACACAGCAGAAAATCAAAATATCCAACTAAAACAAACCACCTTGGATTATATGCTGTGTATGCATAGTTTGGGTTTAAGACATATCCTAGGGGCTCCTGGCTGGCTTAGCTGGTAGAGCATGTGACTCTCTTCTCTGGGTCATGAGTTCAAGCCCCACATTGGGTGTAGAGATTATAAATAAATAAACTTTAAAAATCACATCATCAACTATCATTAAAAAAAGATATATCCTGAAGATGTTTTGATACTTTAAACAAATGTGATTTATATTTAATATTTAATGGCTATTTTAAACTTCTGTCAGTTTTCAACAAAGTATTTGCTTATGCTACCAATGTGAGAGGGGCATTTGAATTAGGAATGAGTGATGTTAGGTTTTTCTCTTCCAATGTATGCCTCCCATATTAAGTTCACAAAGTCAGGTACAAAGAAAGCCATAATGCCCAGGAAAGTTATCTCATTTAGCTCACAACTACAAGCTTATTTTCTTTGCTGTCTTTATGAGTATATTCCACGTTCAAAAATTCTTGTTTTTCTAATCTTTTTGTTAGTTCAGCTAAATATTTTTAGTTATCCCTAAATAATGCTTAGTTTTTTAATAATTACTAATTACAAAACTTGATTTCTTTAGATGAAGGATGTTGACAAACATATAAAACCAATTACAAAGTCTGAAAGTAGCTCACAGACGGATACGCACATATTGCCACCAACAATTGTGAGATCATATGAGTGGAATGAATGGGAATTAAGAAGAAAAGCTATAAAATTGGTTTGTAACAATATTTTCTAAAATTATTTATAGGTTGGGGATTTTTTTTTCTTTAGTTAAGACAGCAGAAGAGATGATTTATTGTATATATGTTACATTCAGCCATATACGAAAACAGAATTAGTCCCTCAAGTCACAGGTCCAGGGCATAGGACCAAAAGGGACAGTTTTGGTATGAGCAAGGTGGGTCTCTCAAAGGTGTTGTTCCGATCAGATGGCAATGGATGTTCTAGATCCATTGAATCAAGTTCCAGAAAGTCAGCATGCAGTCCAAGAGTTTGTACCAGCGTCCCCGGCCTCTGGCTTTCCTTATGTCTGCTCCTGTGGCTTCCATGGGTGTACAACCTAGCTGTTTGCTTGAACCTCTGCCTCATCTTTTTCGCTTCAGCCTCCATATCGCTTCTTCCTCCACTTGGCTCACTTAGTGAGGGGGTTTCCAAGAAGACGGCACTAAGGCTGAGAGGTATAGGTTGGGGAACTTTATTTCTATTTATTTATTTTTTAAAAGATTTTATTATTTGACAGAGAGACAGAGAGAGCACACAAGTAGGCAGAGCAGCAGGCAGAGGGAGAGGGAGCAGCAGGCTCTCGCTGAACGGGGAGCCCAACACGGGCTTGATCCCAGGACCCTGGGATCTTGACCTGAGCCAAAGGCAGCCACTTAACCGACTGAGCCACCCAGGCGCCCCTAGGTTGGGGAACTTTAATGTATTGTTACTCATAGAGTTAGTAATTTAAATTACTTATATAAACTAATGAGTTGTATACAGAGTTCTTTGCATATTAATTTGCCAGCTTTACCTTGTAAGATTGTCTTCTAATTTTAAGCATGTACGGAAGGATGAAACTATTCTCAAATTATACCATCCAGTAACTAGAACAATGGTAGTTGCTTGCTCTCTCTTTCTATATCCATCTATTGTGCTAATCTATGAGGTTCTAGTATTTAAAGCACTCTCAGCTTCCTCTAATCATTGAAAGTATACCCTTTTCTTTTTTGGATTTTTTTTTTTTTTTTTTTTTTTGAGGAGCAGAATATTATCTCTGTTATATCTCAGATAGTGTTCCCTCTTGTTGTCAACATCTTCTCTACAGGCACTGAGCTCTCTTGTCCTTCTGATTTTCAGTCACTTTAATCATAAGAGGTGCCTGCTCCTAAAGCATGGCTTGAAACTCTTATCCGTGTCTGACTCAGCGGAATTCCTCCCACTCACTCTTTTTACAGTACCTCGTCATTTTAAACAACAAGTATTTAGAGTATGAAGGAAACAAACTCTTTTATATCTGTAGCCTTTTCTTACTATATTTTGTCCATCTCTTCAACTGAAATCAGGTATGGAAATAAACAAAGGCTACCCAAATGGGAACAGAGGCTATTTATTCAAAGTTGGCTATAGCAAGGGAGTCAACCACCATCACTTGCAGTTGGCAGAAACTCCAAAGCAGGCAGGAGAAGTGGGAGAGCTTGATAGTGAAAAAAAGGGGAAGGTTTCGGGCATTCTCTGATTAGAGGTTGTTGACATGGGGAAGCTGGAGGTGGGCTAACTCAAAGTGGGGGATCTTATGTGATTGGTTTGGTGGACATTGTTGGCTTTCTCTGGTTGGTCCTTAGTTTAAATGGGGGGGGGCAGCAAAAAAAAAAAAATAGGGAATCTGGCCAAGTCCTGCCTGTTCTGGGCTGATAACTATGGCTACAGAGGTCGTGGGTCAGAGTTCTATTTTCGTATAAGGTCTAGCCTTTGTCCGTTTGTATATTCAGTGTTTTATAGGCTTTTCACCAACCTTGACATTTTTCTTGCCACCCTTTCTGGTGGCAGCTTTTCAGTCCCTTGATTTCCTGGGATGAGAAAGGATTAGTTTCCTGATATATCTTCCAGATCCTTCTGTTCCATTCCAATCAGTCACTCTTCTGTAATTCATGAAGCTCCACTCCATCCCCATGTTCTTTTCTGTTATCTACTAAACTCACTCGAGCCCATCGGATATATACTAGATAACATAGATATCACTACTTTGTTTTTAGAAGCTAATCGTCTAGCAAGTGACATTGATACACTAAAAATATTTCAGTACCTCTTGGTAAGTGGTATAACAGACGTGAAATAAAAGTTGACTTCAATGACATTTTAAGTTGGTCTGAGGTATAAATAGGCAAAGGAGAAGAGGGGAATGATGGCTGGATAGGATATGAGAGGTAGAGGAGCCAACATAGGTCTGGACTGGAAATATAAAGAGATTGGGGCATTTGGTGGGGCTGCACTGCATATTGACTGACCCCCTCTTCTCATTCCTCAACCTCCACTTCATTCTGATTCACACCAGAGACCTAATTATCCTCTAGAATTGCATCATGTTGAATGCCAGCTCCCGATATATTACCAGTACAACCTGCTGAGAGGACAAAACTGAGTGCATTGCTTAAAGCTGTAGGAGGAACCACCACCCCAGCAGAGCTTTGGCAGTGTCTCGAGGGGGAGCAGCAAGGTCAGAATTTATTGAGAACACGAAGTATGGCGGAAGGCAGGTCTTTCAGTGCCAAGGGTAGGTCAGGGGATGGGAGGAAGGCTTGAATTGGATTGGGTAAAGATCATGAAAGAGCAGCCTAGCACTGATGGGACTAGAAAGTAAAGATTTATGGGGCAGGGTGCAAAGAATGTTAGGGCTTAATCTCTGTGTTGATGCTTACTACTGAAGGTGCATCTTTCAGGATGTTCTGTAGTGAACACTCAAGCTATTTGTCTTCACAGGGGTCTCTTGGAATGGTAAAATCCTGCTAATGAGGACAACAGAATAATGAAGTCATATTAATGTAGACAATAAACTCAGTGTGGGGGAAGTAGTTTCAGTTCTCACTCACCCACAGTGTCTCAAAATCTGGAATCCAGGTCTCATTCCAGGTCTCTACTTTTTAACTCACAGGCTCTAATACTTCTGAGTTTTTTTCTTGGACTTCCTCATCACTTCAGTAAATCCTAGTCTCCTTTTTATAAAACTCCTCTTTGCTTCCCAGCCTGAGTAATCTGTTTAACTTCATGTTTACTAGTAATCCATAAAAAGAGCAAGCAAGATGTAGAATACTGTAAAATATAACCTGAAGACATCAGAACTTTTTATATTAAAAGTCTTGGGTGAAGGGGCGCCTGGGTGGCTCATTTGGTTAAAGCGACTGCCTTCGGCTGAGGTCATGATCCTGGAGTCCCAGGATCGAGTCCCGCATCGGGCTCCCTGCTCAGCAGCGAGTCTGCTTCTCCCTCTGACCCTCCCCACCCTCATGTACTCTCTCTCTCATTCTCTCTCTCTCAAATAAATAAATAAAATCTTAAAAAAAGAAGTCTTGGGTGAAGTCCATTTAAAACAAAGAATATCTTAAATTTTTGTCTTTTAAAACAATAAAACAAGTATGGTGGGAAAATCCAAGTGGTATTAAATCTCAAAGTATAATAATGAAGGAATTAGAAGATTATATTAATAAATAATTGAGCTCACTGTTAAGTTTGAATGTGTATGTTCTTTCTTTGGATCCGTTTTCAACCTTTTATGTATTTTCCTACTTCTTAGCCCAAGGATATTTATTATGTTCTAGTTTTTCTAATGTTTTAATGTTTTGTAGAAAAATGCTATGTTGTAGGGCTAGTTTCTTTGTGGATTGAAAAAAGATTAGGCTGATATCATTTGTTCTTTAGAGATGGGTTAATTCCTGTGTATTCTCTTTCTTTTTAGGCCAATTTGCATCAGAAAGCTACTCACTCAGTACAAACTGATCTTAGTCACATGAGAAGAGAAAATTGTTCACAGGTGTACCCACCCAAGGATGCTGGCACGCAGTCTAAGAGCGAAGGCAGCAGCCGCGTGCCCAGGCCCCAGATTTACATAGCTGGTCTCCGTGGGGGACAGGGTAAAGTCACCTCTGGGGTCAAGGTGAACTTAACTAGAGCTGTTGATGAGACCTAGTTAGAGACTGAATTTTTAAAGTAGATCTCACCAAGTTATGAGCAGTGGCAAATATTGACAAGTATCTTTGCATCCTTTAAAATTAGTTAATTTTGTGGGTCTGGCACATTCATCGGTTGTGTGAATGTTTTCTGGATTCTCATGTATATTCGCTGTCAGCCTGCTACAAAAAACTAAAAGTTGTTTCTGTAACACATTTTGCATTTTATTAAAATTGAAAAGTAAAACTCTGTCCACTCAGCTTTTATTTGTCAGAAAAGGTTTGGCAGCATTAAAGGCTGAAATTATGATGCTCTTTAGATATTAATATATTTATAAGATTGTGACTGAGATAGAAGCTTATTTATTTCTAAAATCACATTTAATGTTAAACATTAAAATTTTAAAGGCTAGTCAGTATTTTCAGCCTCATTAGCTATTAAATGTTAACATAGATTAAATTGATGTATAATAAGACCTCGCTAATTTGGAATAATTAGAGCAGAGGTCCACGTGAATTTTAAAAATCTGGGAAATTTTACATAAAATCTGGATTTCTGGCCCCTTGAAAAAAATCAGAATATTTGGCAGTACTTGGCTAGTATTCCTGTGAATAGTAGCTGTGCTCTTTCGTAGGCCAGTCCCCCTTCCTGCTGCCTTGCCTTATTTGCCTGACCCCATTGGCAGTTGCGTTTAGGGCCCATGTGAATTACTGATTGCTGAATTTTAGAGCTATAATTTTATTACTGTCTTACATAATTTTAATACCAACTCCTGGATAATAAAGACTCCCAGGTGGAGAGACTGTTAAACATGCTTTAGTGACGAGGGGATCATTTATATTTAGTGTATTTTTTCCTGCCTTGGTGACTTTTATTAAGGTGTTTATATAATTTGTTTTCTATGTAGGTTAAGTGTTATTTATAATATGAATATGTTTCAAAATCAATTTTCCACATATATCATAAAGGTAAACTTCAAACAGACCTACTTCTCAGTGTTCATGATTTTCATAGCTGTAGTTTAAAAATGATGTTAAAGATAGGTGGACTGGCTGTTGAGGCAAGGCCTGGGGCGGGGGGCAAGGATCTGGCCTTGAAGGAGGTGGGATGGTGAGAGCTAACACTGAACTTTACAACATCAGGTTTTTTATTTTATCTGTTCTATCAACCCTCATTCGATTCTGCAAGACTTCTAAACACAGAAAAGAAGGGCTGGTGAGCCATAATTTGGGGTTATCAAGTTAAGGTTGGAAGTAAAATTTCCAAATAATAAAAATACCAAACCCAGTTTGAAAAGCTCAATTTAATATCAGAAAGTTGCCTGATAAGTACAATAGAGCCAGAATAAAGGGAGCTAGACCAAATGGTCCTCTGCTGGGATCTTGACCATCCACCCAAGCCCTAGTGCTCTCTAAACATTCCCAACCACATGCTGGACCCTGCGTCAGATGGTCACGCCCGTTTCAGCAGGTTGCAGGCCAAACTCATTTTCTTAGACTTGTGTCTCCCTCTGTATTTCTTTCTGTGGTCAAAGGCCTCACCATCTACTCAGTAGTAGACATTAAAAACTTTTTGACTGCCTTTTCCTCACAGCCCCTACATTTAATAAGTCAGCAAGCCCTATTGATTTGAATTGTCTGAGTCTGTTTTCGTCACCATTGCTATTGTTTAGGACTTAGTCCTATTATCTGATTCATTGGCATGATGTTTCTAACATATAAATCTGATCATTGTCACCCTGTCCCCTTCCCCCAACTTTTACTTCCTTCACTTAAACAGCTACCAAGTCTCATTTCTATTACCTAGGGGATAATGGGAAAACTCCTTCACATATTATGTAAGACTTCAAAATATATCCATTTATCTTCCAGTTTCATTTTCTGCTCCTCTCTTGCTATCTCCTTACACTATACATATTAGGCAAGTTGAACCAAACTCTTCAAATATGTCATTGTCTTTAATACCAACGTCCTCTGCTCTTGCTTTTCACTGTCACCTGGAATGTACTCCACAGACACCCTCATGAGATTATGTTTGTCCTCAGACTGATCAGGTTTTACCTTTTCAGTAAAGGTTTTCCCCATCACCTTTGGGAGAATTAATTGCTTCGTCCTTTGGATTTTCACTAGATTTTAGTTAGACCCTTAGTAGAGTACTTAAAGTCAAGAGGTATACATGTGGTCCTCTGTATTCTCCCTGTTAGATTGTGAATTCCTTGAGATTTGAACTGTGTTCTAGCCATTTTTATACCCCTGGCATTTGTATAGTATGTTGTTTGATGAATGAATGAATAAAAAGGGAATAAATGAAAGAACAAACTAGAGGCAGGCTATTGGTCAAGTGATTATTTTAATAGTCAAGGTGGGAATTGATAAGGAGCTCAGCAGCAGAGTAGTCATTGAAAAGAAGAGAGAATGGAACAGAGGAAAAAGGAGATTATTTTTTGACAAGTGGTGGGAAATAAAGTTGGATAAGTCATGTCCGTATAGCTTTTGGAGAACATTGAAAGCCAGGCAGAGGAATATGTTGCCTGTCTGAGGTCAGACATTAGGAAATCATTGCAGATTCTTGAACAGAAGATTGATTGTGGGAGAGAGATGCTATGTTTGGGGAGATGGCTAGGAAGCTGTGTTGCAAGAATTAGGGTATGTGGTAATGGATGACATGAAGGGCAAATGTGAGATTTAATGAACAGGATAGAACATCTGAGGAAAAGGAAGGAAAAATCACAGTATGACTTCAGGGTGTCTACCCTAGGAGACCGAGGATAATTGGGAAGAGGAGCTGGTTGATCAAAAAAGAGAACACGTTCAGTACTAGAAAAATTGTGTTTAAGAGATAACAAATAAAGCAGAGGTGACTGGAATTTGAACTGGACAAAGATAATTTGGGAGGTCACCCCAAGGGAATGGGGATGGAATGAGGAGGAAGAGACAAAATGAGACCGAGGAGCAGTCAGAGGAGTAGAAAAAGACATAAGGAATCTCTGTGGTCAAAGAAGTAGAGTCAAGGTCTACTACTTACTAGCTTAAGTTTTTAGCATTAAGTAATTAATGTTACTTAATATTTTTCTGCTGCAGTTTCTTCATCATGAAAATTGGGATACTAATAGTTACTAACTCACTGGGTTGTCAAGAGGATTAAATGAGTTAACCCATGCAAAGCATTTATATGGTAAGTGCTTTGTTAATGTTAACCAAGAAAGGAGGGAGTCTCCGGTGTCTCATTCTACTGCATTCCCATCTTCATTTTGCCCACTTTCTGTTTTCAAGCTCTCCGTCAGTGCCTCGAATAATGCTTGGCACATTGTGGCTTTCAGTCAATGTCTGATGAATAAACAGAAGCGGATGAGAAATGAGAAAAGTTCAATGGAGTAGGCAACTGCTGAGCTCCGTTTTAATAGAGTTGGCTTGAGTAGAAGACCGCAGTAGGCAGAAAATGGTAGAAATAAGTACAGACTACAAATCAGTACTGCTTGGCAGGAAAAGAAAAATGAGATTATGGTAGCTAAAAAAGGAAGCAGAGGCAAGGGAGAGTTAAGTTCCAATAAGAAATGTTTAGATGTTGATGATTGTTACTCATGTTTTGCTCTTTAAGTCTAGACACTGAATTTTACATTGTCTCCTTGTATTTTTTAACTTTCTCAATTACAAAATGCAACAATTCTTTTTAACTTGTCTTTAGTAATATTACACCATAGGAAGGAATTGTTTTAAAATACTAACCTAGCAAATTGGGATGTAATTTTCTTAATAGCAGAATGAGAAAAACATGCTTAAATTGTCATGGAAACAATTATGTTTAGGTGTCTGCATTTGCCTAAATGTTCTTTATGGTTAATGATTTACTTTACTTGAACTTTTACCACTTTTAATAATCTATTATATAGCTACATCCTGAATTTGACTATAGCTTCCTTAAGCCTTTTGGCTTGCTTACTGCACAGCTTACACTTTCACTTTAGTACCAATGGAGAGAGTAATGGACTTCCTTGTATATAATTCATTGCGACTAGGGTAGCTCTCATGCCTGAGCAGAGATAGAAGTGAGCAGGATTTCAAGGCAAATACTGCAGCTTGGTAATGACCATCGGGAATATCATTAGGGTTTCAGATGGCGATATAGCGGTAGTTGTTGGAGACACAGTCAGGTTAGCTCATTATCAGGCAAATGACCCTGTGGTTCACATGTTGAAGATGACTGCTTCTAGCAATAACCACGGTTGTAGAGAAGGCTAGGCATACACAAAAGCAGCACATTAAGTCACCAGGTTTTCCTCCAAGACAGGATAATTCAGAATGAGAAAGTAAAATTTAGCTCACATCTGTAAATATCTGCTTGGCCATTCATTGGGCTGAGATAGCAAACAGAAACACCAGCTGGAAAGTTAACAGGAAATAATATTTATCTGAAGGGTATGCTCAGTAAAGTATAATAACCAACCCCTCTTCTGAGTGTCTACTTTCTAACTCAATGAAACATTTTGTTCTCTGAAAGCATATGGGGTTAGGAACCTTGCTGTTGAAATTGTTATCAGTAGGAATGAAAGGGCCTGCTTTTGCTTGGAGGATTTAAGTCACTTTGACACAAAGAAGCAGCCTCAATTTCCAACCTAGAAGCAAAGCCTTCCATTTCAGGGGCTCCTGAATAGAGCAGTCCACATCTGGTAACTTTGTTGTTTTCAAGAAACAGGATCCTGAGACTATTCTTCAGTCCAGATCTGATGTTGACTTCTCTATAAACAGCCGTGATTCGAATCAAAACACTGCTTCCTTTAAATTTCACCCAAGTCTATCCATCTCCCAGATTTTATAACTCTTTCTTTGTTTCCAGAGACATCCCACACAATTTCTCTGGTGTGAGATTTCCCTCACTGGAATGGGTCAATATATCTGACTCTCTCTAAATACAGGTTTGTCCCTAGGCTGAACAGGTTAGGACAAGAGGTATCAAAATCTAGTCAAGGTTCATGCCAATGCTTTGGGGCAATTAAAATTTATTAAGAAAAGTAGGGTTCAGTAGCATATGTTATGTGAACCAGAAATGTCACAAAAAACAGCCCAACAGCATTTTACCTACCACCCTAATTATAATTTGTGTGTGTGTGTGTGATACTATTCTCTACCAGAAAGAACCATAGTTTGTTGAAGTGTAGTTGATTCCATGACCTAGGACAGGGAAATATCAAGATTGGCTGGAACCTCTTGTTGCCAGAAATAAAGAATGCTTCAAAAATCTTGTGCAGATGTAAAGAAAGGAGTAGGTTTACAAGGGTCATATTGGGATAACTTGAGCATCAAAAGGAGAAAAATTATATTTAATTAGGTTGAGACCATAATGATAC